TAGAGAAAGAAACCGAGGGAGAGGATGAGATGAAGAGAGAGGCACAGTCCTAAAGTGTGTGTACAGAGTGTGGAGTGATTGATTGACTTCCTCTGATTGTTATCATAGACTGTGTTCACACAGCCAGCACAATTCTGATATTTTTTCCACTAATTGTTTATTTCTTTAAACTATCACATAAGATCTTTTTAAGAGCTGATCTGAATGGTCAAAAGACAGATTAGTGAAAAGTGTGTGCGTGCGTTGTTCCGTTTGTGTTCTTCAGTGGAACCCTTCTGCTATGAGAGCTCTTTGTCCACCTGTGATTGGCTCCTGAACAGGCAGTAAAGTAGAGGTTTGTTCATCTGAACGTGTGCAAACCAGAGATGTATAATACTCATGGTACAAACAGGCCTGCTCTGTTAACAAGAGGTAGCTACTGTACCTTACAAAACCCCTCCAGTCAAATACACTGCTCAAAAAAATAAAGGGAACACTTAAACAACACAATGTAACTCCAAGTCAATCACACTTCTGTGAAATCAAACTGTCCACTTAGGAAGCAACACTGATTGACAATAAATTTCACATGCTGTTGTGCAAATGGAATAGACAACAGGTGGAAATTATAGGCAATTAGCAAGACACCCCCAATAAAGGACTGGTTTTGCAGGTGGTGACCACAGACCACTTCTCAGTTCCTATGCTTCCTGGCTGATGTTTTGGTCACTTTTGAATGCTGCCGGTGCTTTCACTCTAGTGGTAGCATGAGACGGAGTCTACAACCCACACAAGTGGCTCAGGTAGTGCAGCTCATCCAGGATGGCACATCAATGCGAGCTGTGGCAAGAAGGTTTGCTGTGTCTGTCAGCGTAGTGTCCAGAGCATGGAGGCACTACCAGGAGACAGGCCAGTACATCAGGAGACGTGGAGGAGGCCGTAGGAGGGCAACAACCCAGCAGCAGGACTGCTACCTCCGCCTTTGTGCAAGGAGGAGCAGGAGGAGCACTGCCAGAGCCCTGCAAAATGACCTCCAGCAGGCCACAAATGTGCATGTGTCTGCTCAAACGGTCAGAGACAGACTCCATGAGGGTGGTATGAGGGCCCGACGTCCACAGGTGGGGGTTGTGCTTACAGCCCAACACCGTGCAGGACGTTTGTCATTTGCCAGAGAACACCAAGATTGGCAAATTCGCCACTGGCGCCCTGTGCTCTTCACAGATGAAAGCAGGTTCACACTGAGCACATGTGACAGACGTGACAGAGTCTGGAGATGCCGTGGAGAATGTTCTGCTGCCTGCAACATCCTCCAGCATGACCGGTTTGGCGGTGGGTCAGTCATGGTGTGGGGTGGCATTTCTTTGGGGGGCCGCACAGCCCTCCATGTGCTCGCCAGAGGTAGCCTGACTGCCATTAGGTACCGAGATGAGATCCTCAGACCCCTTGTGAGACCATATGCTGGTGCGGTTGGCCCTGGGTTCCTCCTAATGCAAGACAATGCTAGACCTCATGTGGCTGGAGTGTGTCAGCAGTTCCTGCAAGAGGAAGGCATTGATGCTATGGACTGGCCCGCCCGTTCCCCAGACCTGAATCCAATTGAGCACATCTGGGACATCATGTCTCGCTCCATCCACCAACGCCACGTTGCACCACAGACTGTCCAGGAGTTGGCGGATGCTTTAGTCCAGGTCTGGGAGGAGATCCCTCAGGAGACCATCCGCCACCTCATCAGGAGCATGCCCAGGTGCACGTGGAGGCCACACACACACTACTGAGCCTCATTTTGACTTGTTTTAAGGACATTACATCAAAGTTGGATCAGCCTGTAGTGTGGTTTTCCACTTTAATTTTGAGGGTGACCTCAAATCCAGACCTCCATGGGTTGATAAATGTGATTTCCATTGATAATTCTTGTGTGATTTTGTTGTCAGCACATTCAACTATGTAAAGAAAAAAGTATTTAATAATATTATTTCATTCATTCAGATCTAGGATGTGTTATTTTAGTGTTCCCTTTATTTTTTTGAGCAGTGTACATCCGTAGCAGTACTCATGAGGGGCCTTTGCTCCATTTCAGTCCTAGTACTGGGAAAGGGATTTGGGAATGACTTCAGAGATATGATAGTCTGGGATATTAGAAGAGGAAATGGGAATGGGATATGGGAATGTAATAGTATGGGAATCTTTTGTTGAAGTGCTGAATTTGCTGTGACCCTGTTGTGGCTGCAGATCAGAACACAACATGACTCCAGCTGGACACACACATACACACACAGCCACATAGCAGACTTTCTGTACGGGGAGATGTGCGCACACACACTGGCTTGAGATTAACATTGTGGTCTGAGAAGCCCAGTCTGCCTGTTGACGTCAGTAGAGGTGTTGGTTGAATCCAATAAGGTGTGTTTGTGTGTAAAAGGACACTAGTGGGACACACATATTCAAAGCTTATTGAAATGAACCACACTTCCGCTTTACGCTACAGGCCATTATAGAATTGGCTGTTACAGAAGGGAGTGACTCATGTTCTGAGGCACAGATGGAGCCAGGGCCATTGATTGGCAAGGTGTGTGTGGTACATTGTGCTGCAGAAGGGTTGGAGCTGGGCTGTGGAGGAACCAACATAATGGAAATGTGAGGGCAAAGTGTCAGATGAGAGAACTATGCCAAGCTGCTAGCTAACTCTCCAAACCAACTCTTCAATTTCCCTCCTCTGTTTCCATGACCTACAGCCACAGTATAGGAGCCAGTACTACAGCTGCAGTGTGTGTGTGTGTGTGCACGTGTGTATTAGAGCCAGTACACCACAGCAGAAGATAACACTGCATGGATCTACTGTCCTGTACCCTAGATGCCTGACTTTCATATTGGCTACGGCCCGTGTGTGTGGACACGTTTTACTATACTTCACGAATAGTAAACCAACTAAAATTCAGAGAAGTGAGAACATTTAGCTGATCCTCACTTGTAAAAAGGCTATTTTAGGCTTAGGGGTTAGGTTAAGGGTTAGAATTAGGGTTAGGAATTAGGTTTAGGGGTTAAGGTTAGAGATGGGGTTAGGTTTAGGGTTAAGGGGAAATAGGATTTTGAATGGGAATCAATTGTTGGTCCCCAAAAAGTCTTCACAAGTAAGTGTGTGTATGTATGTGTGTGTGTGTGTGTGTGTGTGTGTGTATTAGCTCATTGTCCCTGCGGTGTTAGCTGCAGTGTGTGTTGTGTGTAAAGACTGAAGGCTCCTTTGGGACCTGGGTCAGGAGAGAATCATAACTTCAGGACATATATCTTTGTAAAACTGGAAGCCTAGCATTTTACACGGAAAGAATGTCCCCCTCCTTCCTCCTGTCTTTTTTTCACCCCCCCCCCCCCCCCCCCCCCCCTTACCCTTTTCTCTTCTGTGTCCTTGTCCCATTTGTCTTCCATCAAGCCACTATGTTCATGCCCTCTCTGTTGATCTATCCATTTATCTTTCATTTCCCCTCTACTTCAGAATCATCTTTCCCCATCTTCTCTTTCTCTCCCTCCATTTCTATGTCTTTGTAGCCCTGACTCCCAGCTCTCTTTCGCTCTCTCTGAACTACAGAAATGTGGTTCTGATTGTTCCTCCTCTCCTCCTCATGTTCTCTCTCCCCCTCGCTTCTCCTCCTCTACTCCCCACGGCTGCATTCTTTCATTATGAAGTCCTCCAAAGAAGACTCATCACCCTCCATTTTTACTACCTCTCTGTTCCTTACAGCGGTGTAATCAAATGTAGAATGTATATGCCAGCCGTGACAGAGCAGACTTACTAGTTTGAATGACTGAACACCATGTTCACTTAATAATGTTTGCCATGGCGTGGTTGAATAAGAGACAGAGACCAGGTGTGAGTGAGGAGTCGTGAGAACAGAGGGTATTTACAAACGGTTTTATTTAGTATTGAGCTACATGGAAACTGATGGCAGAGCGTGGCAGGTATTTACCTCCATCAACTTGTCTGTGATGGGTGTGTTTTTGTGTGAGTGATTTTTCTTTTTTACTGGAATAAACAAAGGCCATACCAGGGCTAACTACAGCAGGGTGTGACTGTGACTATACTCATTATAAATATGTTGATAAATAACAGAAGGGAGAGATGGCAGGGAGAACATGGAGGAAACATTTGGCTTCAGAATCAAAGGTCTTAAATTAACTCTCGCAAATAAAACCAAATATATTTACATACCATAGCGAGCTGGGCTGTTTCCACATCACAAAGCACATTGCTACAGTCCGTTTCCTCTCAGTGGGAACCCCGAAACAACAAGCCCAAACAAAGCAAAAGTGGGAGAGTTAAATGTACATGAAGACCGTCCCAAGTCCTGTAAGCCTGGGGGGGACATGCCTCTCAACCTGTGGAACGTTCTCATTCTGTTTTTAACTGATGACATCATAAGGAACTTCTTATTAAATCCTTAGTACACTGTGAAGAAAGGCTTTCACTAGCAACAAACCCAGCTAGAGACAAGCAAAACAGAACGGCAAAATTAACTATTTATTTTCCAGTCAACATTTGTGAAATAAGCATCTGAAATTCCTAATGTAACCACTTTCATAGCGTACTGAAGTGTGACAAGGTGGAGGAGCATACAGAGTATAACATAGTGACTGTTGTAGAAGGCAGTGGCAGCTAGCTCTGTGTTCGAGTTCATACTCTCTGTCCACTGCTGTCTGGCACAGCACTATCATATGGCTGTCTAGCCATGCTAGAGAGGACGCAATAGGAGCACAGCTGAAACAATGGCAGAACGCTGTGTCATCTTCTGTTCAGAGAGGCTGAAGAAGAACCAGTGTTTCCATGAAGCAGTTGAATTTGGGATTTGGGCCTCGACAGTTGAAATCAGCTTCTCTGCTCCACTTAAAAATGTAAGAATGGAAAAGAACGTGAAGATGAAGGGTAGCTTGGTGGAGAAGTTGAGAGGCGTCACAGGGGGGTGGGAGGTTAGGGATTAGGATGGGTCAAAGGTCATAGCGTAGGTAGTTAGGTGGTGGAGCCTGCTCCAGGCTCAGTCAATAGGTCGTATCATTATGCGGACAGACTTGAGGGAGTATGATCCTCCTCCGTACTCAGCCCAGAAGATTCCATCCTGGAACTTACTGCGGTAAACCCCTCCGCTGTACCACACTCCATTCAGGTTGGTCTGACCACAGGCGTTGTACCACCAGCCTCCCTTATGGAAGTGGGCACAGTTACCTAGCGATGGGAGAGGAGGAGAGAAGGGGACTTAGTGGTACAGAATATTCTAGTGCTAGTTGTCACTTGAGCAGAGATGGACCACAGTACAGAGTAGCTTGAGCAACAGTGTGCTTGGGAAACTAGTAGTGTAGCATAGCAATGTGTTGGTGTACTATTACATTGTTGTACTCATATTCTAGAATACACTGTTTCTCCCTAGTTTTACCTGAGAAAGCGTCCTTGTCCCTGTCCAGCGTGGTGAACATTTTCCCATTGTGGCTGCTGAGGGAGTCTCCAGCATTTCCCTGGTAGGTGCCCAGCCTCAGGCGGTAGCCCTCACTCTCAGACTCCAGGTGGAAGCTGCTGTACTCAGCATACACCTTCTTCCCCACCCAGTCCTCCAGCTCTACCAGCAGCCTGTAGTCCCCCTGCTTCCCGAGGTTATAGATGTTCTCCAGACCCAGCCAGTACTCACTGTCTATGTTCCCAAAGCCTTTCTGTAGGGGGAGACACACAGAGCAGGTTATATTATATATGCTTTCCAGGTTCCAAGGTTTTCTAGTAAACTGTTACAGATCTGTGAGGTGTGTGGTGGTTGTGTGGTTTCCCACCTAAAGCGTTTAGAATGTTCCTGTCACCCACCAACTAGCCTAAACGGCAGCAGTTTTTCCAGTCAGGAGCAGAAGGAACCACACCTCTGTCTGCAGACAGTCGATACAGTCACGCTCCGAGGACAAAGAGATGGTAAATCAGAGGGTAGACTCCACTAATGTGATTTCTCGCCACATCGTGTTAAAGGAAGCCAAACCTTCAGAATCAATGGAACATGTTGAATCAGTTCTCTGTTGGAGAAGGTAATGTGTCAAAGTTCTGCCTCTGCTTTCCCAGTCAAGGTGAATTAACTGGCTGTGGCAGGGGAGAAAGACTATGGGGGCTACACAGACACCACACACACATACAGTACCAGTCAAAAGTTTGGACACACTTACTCATTCAAGGGTGTTTCTTTACTTTTACTATTTTCCACATTGTAGAATAATAGTGAAGACATCAAAACTATGAAATAACACACATGGAATCATGTAGTAACCAAAAAAGTGTATATATTTTATATTTGAGATTCTTCAAAGTAGCCACCGTTTGCCTTGATGACAGCTTTGCACACTTTAGGCATTCTCGCAACCAGCTTCACCTGGAATGCTTTTCCAACAGTCTTGAAGGAGTTCCCACATATGCTGAGCACTTGTTGGCTGCTTTTCCTTCACTCTGCGGTCCAACTCATCCCAAACCATCTCAATTGGGTTGAGGTCGGGTGATTATGGAGGCCAGGTCATCTGATGCAGCACTCCATCACTCTCCTTCTTGGTCAAATAGCCCTTACACAGCCTGGAGGTGTGTTGGGTCATTGTCCTGTTGAAAAACAAATGATAGTCCCACTAAGCCCAAACCAGATGGGATGGCGTATCGCTGCAGAATGCTGTGGTAGCCATGCTGGTTAAGTGTGCCTTGAATTCTAAATAGATCACAGACAGTGTCACCAGCAAAGCACCCCCACACCATAACACCTCCTCCATGCTTCACGGTGGGGACCACACATGCGGAGATCATCCGTTCACCTACTCTGCGTCTCACAAAGACATGGCGGTTTGAACCAAAAATCTCCAATTTGGACTCATCAGACCAAAGGACAGATTTCCACCAGTCTAATGTCCATTGCTTGTGTTTCTTGGCCCAAGCAAGTCTCTTCTTATTATTGGTGTCCTTTAGTAGTGGTTTCTTTGCAGCAATTCGACAATGAAGGCCTGATTCACGCAGTCTCCTCTGAACAGTTGATGTTGAGATGTCTGTTACTTGAACTCTGTGAAGCATTTATTTGGGCTGCAATTTCTGAGGCTGGTAACTCTAATGAACTTATCCTCTACAGCAGAGGTAACTCTGGGTCTTCCATTTCCAGTGGCGGTCCTCATGAGAGCCAGTTTTATCATAGCGCTTGATGGTTTTTGCGACTGCACTTGAAGAAACTTTCAAAGTTCTTGAAATTTTCCGTATTGACTGACCTTCATGTCTTAAAGTAATGATGGACTGTCGTTTCTCTTTGCTTATTTGAGCTGTTCTTGCCATAATATGGACTTAGCCTTATTTGGTAAAAGACCATCTTCTGTATACCACCCCTATCTTGTCACAACACAACTGATTGGCTCAAACGCATTAAGAAGGAAAGAAATTCCACAAATTAACTTTTAACAAGGCACACCTATTAATTGAAATGCATTCCAGGTGACTACCTCATGAAGCTGGTTGACAGAATGCCAAGAGTGTGCAAAGCTGTCATCAAGGCAAAGGGTGGCTACTTTGAAGAATCTCAAATATAAAATATATTTTGATTTGTTGAACACTTTTTTTTGGTTACTACATGATTCCATATGTGTTATTTCATAGTTCTGATGTCTTCACTATTATTCTACAATGTAGAAAATAGTCAAAATAAAGAAAAACCCTTGAATGAGTAGGTGTGTCCAAACTTTTGACTGGTACTGTACATATACAGTGGGGAAAAAAAGTATTTAGTCAACCACCAATTGTGCAAGTTCTCCTACTTAAAAAGATCAGAGAGGCCTGTAATTTTCATCATAGGTACACGTCAACTATGACAGACAAATTGAGATTTTTTTTCTCCAGAAAATCACATTGTAGGATTTTCTATGAATTTATTTGCAAATTATGGTGGAAAATAAGTATTTGGTCACCTACAAACAAGCAAGATTTCTGGCTCTCACAGACCTGTAACTTCTTCTTTAAGAGGCTCCTCTGTCCTCCACTCGTTACCTGTATTAATGGCACCTGTTTGAACTTGTTATCAGTATAAAAGACACCTGTCCACAACCTCAAACAGTCACACTCCAAACTCCACTATGGCCAAGACCAAAGAGCTGTCAAAGGACACCAGAAACAAAATTGTAGACCTGCACCAGGCTGGGAAGACTGAATCTGCAATAGGTAAGCAGCTTGGTTTGAAGAAATCAACTGTGGGAGCAATTATTAGGAAATGGAAGACATACAAGACCACTGATAATCTCCCTCGATCTGGGGCTCCACGCAAGATCTCACCCCGTGGGGTCAAAATGATCACAAGAACGGTGAGCAAAAATCCCAGAACCACACGGGGGGACCTAGTGAATGACCTGCAGAGAGCTGGGACCAAAGTAACAAAGCCTACCATCAGTAACACACTACGCCGCCAGGGACTCAAATCCTGCAGTGCCAGACGTGTCCCCCTGCTTAAGCCAGTACATGTCCATGCCCGTCTGAAGATTGCTAGAGTGCATTTGGATGATCCAGAAGAGGATTGGGAGAATGTCATATGGTCAGATAAAACCAAAATATAACTTTTTGGTAAAAACTCAACTCGTCGTGTTTGGAGGACAAAGAATGCTGAGTTGCATCCAAAGAACACCATACCTACGGTGAAGCATGGGGGTGGAAACATCATGCTTTGGGGCTGTTTTTCTGCAAAGGGACCAGGACGACTGATCCGTGTAAAGGAAAGAATTAATGGGGCCATGTATCGTGAGATTTTGAGTGAAAACCTCCTTCCATCAGCAAGGGCATTGAAGATGAAACGTGGCTGGGTCTTTCAGCATGACAATGATCCCAAACACACCGCCCGGGCAACGAAGGAGTGGCTTCGTAAGAAGCATTTCAAGGTCCTGGAGTGGCCTAGCCAGTCTCCAGATCTCAACCCCATAGAAAATCTTTGGAGGGAGTTGAAAGTCCGTGTTGCCCAGCGACAGCCCCAAAACATCACTGCTCTAGAGGAGATCTGCATGGAGGAATGGGCCAAAATACCAGCAACAGTATGTGAAAACCTTGTGAAGACTTACAGAAAACGTTTGGCCTGTGTCATTGCCAACAAAGGGTATATAACAAAGTATTGAGAAACTTTTGTTATTGACCAAATACTTATTTTCCACCATAATTTGCTAATAAATTCATTAAAAATCCTACAATGTGATTTTCTGGATTTTTTTTTTTTCATTTTGTCTGTCATAGTTGACGTGTACCTATGATGAAAATTACAGGCCTCTCTCATCTTTTTAAGTGGGAGAACTTGCACAATTGTTGGCTGACTAAATACTTTTTTTCCCCACTGTATACATAGTGTGTGAATGGCAGTGTGTTGGGTCCAGAATCTCAGTGACGATACCGAGAGGATGGAGGGAGAGAGACAGAGAGGAGGGAAGGAGTCTGATTTCTTCTCCTGCCCATGGGGGCATTCTGGCTGTGTGTGTACTTGTGTTTGTGGTGTGTAGCTAATTGGCAGGGCCAGGGCTTTCTCCTGAGTGATGGAGTGTGTTAGCAGCCCAGAATGTGTTGGCGGAATGGGCTTGGTTATGTAACATCGGAGGGGAGATTAGGGGGACGTGGAGCCTCCTACATCAGCCCCTCCCTCCCTGTCCCTGCTGGGGTCACAGCTGATTGGAGGTCAGAGGGAGAGGGCTGGACTTTACAGGCCATGGGTTAGTGCCAATGGCTCAGTGGTTAACAATAGACAGACAGATGCAGATGCTTTTGTTCTCTCGGTGTGTGTCATTGTGTGATCGTCTACGCTACACTACCTTGTAGTTCTCCCAGTTCCTAAAGAAGTTGACCGATCCGTCCTTCCTCCTCTGTAGCACAGTCCAGCCTCCGTTGTCTAGGCCGTGTTCACACCAGGCCTGGATCAGCCTGTCACTACTCTCTGCCTTCAGCAGGTACATCCCACTGGTGCTGTGGCCCGCCTGGCGCACCTGGTAGCAGTCCTTAAACGGACCTGAGAGAGATGATGGAGAGAGGGGGAGGGAGAAGAAATGGGTCAGTGCCTGCGTCATCATGGCACCCTATTGGCACTCCTTTTGACCAGGGCCCAAAGCCAATGTCTTTACTCTGTTAGTCCTTCAGTGCTGCCTCTATGTCATAACATCCTCTTCACTAATCACCATACCATAACCTGCCTTAGGTGAACAAGATGTCTTCTTTCATCAGAGATGCAAAATACATCATGTAGTGTTCGCTGAGGGGGAGAATGAGGGGAGGGGGAAGAGGAAGAGGAGTGAGAGGAGAGGGGGGGAAGACAAGGGAGGGGGAGCGAGGGGGAGAGGGGGGAGCAAGAGGGGGCGCGAGAGAGAGATCACCAAGACCCCCTAGCTAATGGGGATGGATTTGAGTGGTCAGGATGCTATAGCAGTCAGTGAACCCCTTTTCTTGCCCTGATCACCATACAGCCATACGTTACTACTACTACTACCACACACACACACACACACACACACACACACACACACACACACACACACACACACACACACACACACACACACACACACACACACACACAGAGATCCCAACATTAGATCAGTACCTAGAGGCCCAGCTGTATCTTAACCCAGCTTGTTTCCCCTTCTCTCCCCTGAGTGAATGATGTGTATTGAGCAGCCATGAAGACAGGCTTTGTGATGGGGCCTCCGAGGCACAGAGAATATGGTTTTCTCAGCTATTTGTGTACAGGGAGGACACAGGGCCACGGTAGGGCCTCATACACATACCTGAAACCCCACTGCACAGGGACATATTATTCCAGTAACCATACATCTTCATCTAGACTACTTCTCTCTTGAGAGGCTCTTTCTTTCTGTCTACAGCTCTCTTGGACTCTTTCTTTCATTCTCTCTCCCCCTCCCCCTCTCTCTCCCAAGTAAAAAACAGGGGAATATCTAATGTGACCCTAGTGGTTTGAGCAGGGGTTGGCCAGCCCGTCAGTGTGGTGCAGGTCTGTGTATTGAGGTGAACCAGCTATGTGTGGTCTGAGGGCTAAACCCTGAACAGGAACGGTTTCGGCCGGGCTCCACTCCCTCTGAGTGATTCGTAATAGATGATTGCGTTGCTTTTCCTCACACATCAGGACAAATTCATTGCTCCTCTCGCTTGTTGCTTTTGGGACCAAACAGTCCGTGTCCAGAACGAAAGGAGATTAGTAGATTTATGTGGCCTGAGTTTCAGAGCGGAGAAGCTCTGTGATATGTATGATCAGGATTGTGTCGGGGCACAGATCTGGGGAAGGGTACCAAAACATTTCTGCAGCATTGAATGTCCCCAAGAACACAGTGGCCTCGATAATTCTTAAATGGAAGAAGTTTGGAACCACCAAGAATCTTCCTAGAGCTGGCCGCCCGGCCAAACTGAGCAATCGGGGGAGAAGGGCCTTGGTCAGGGAGCTGACCAAGAACCCAATGGTCTCTCTGACAGAGCTCCAGAGTTCCTCTGTGGAGATGGGTAACCATCACTGCAACACTCCACCAATCAGAAATTTTATGGTGGACTGGCCAGACAGAAGCCACTCCTCAGTAAAAGGCACGACAGCCTGCTTGGAGTTTGTCAAAAGGCACCTAAAGGACTCTCAGACCATGAGAAACAAGATTCTCTGGTCTGATGAAACCAAGATTGAACACTTGGGCCTGAATCTGCAGAGAAGAATGGGAGAAACTCCCCAAATACAGTTGAAGTCGGAAGATTACATACACCTTAGCCAAATACATTTTAACTCAGTTTCTCACAATTCCTGACATTTAATCCTAGTAAAAATTCCCTGTTTTAGGTCAGTTATGATCACCACTTTATTTTAAGAATGTGAAATGTCAGAATAATAGTAGAGAGAATGATTTATTTCATATTTTATTTCTTTCATCACATTCCCAGTGGGTCAGAAGTTTACATACACTCAATTAGTATTTGGTAGCATTGCCTTTAAATTGTTTAACTTGGGTAAAATGTTTCGGGTAGTCTTCCACAAGCTTCCCACAATAAGTTCTCCTGACAGAGCTGGTGTAACTGAGTCAGGTTTGTAGGCCTCCTTGCTCACACACGCTTTTTGAGTTCTGCCCACACATTTTCTATAGGATTGAGGTCAGGGCTTTGTGATGGCCACTCCAATACCTTGACTGTTATCCTTAAACCATTTTGCCACAACTTTGGAAGTATGCTTGGGGTCATTGTCCATTTGGAAGACCCATTTGTGACCAAGCTTTAACTTTCTGACTGATGTCTTGAGATGTTGCTTCAATATATCCCCATCATTTTCCTTCCTCATGATGCCATCTATTTTGTGAAGTGCACCAGTCCCTCCTGCAGCAAAGCACCCCCACAGCATGATGCTGCCACCCCCGTGCTTCATAGTTGGGATGGTGTTCTTCGGCTTGCAAGCAACCCCCTTTTTCCTCCAAACATAACGTTGGTCATTATGGCAAAACAGTTATATTGTTGTTTCATCAGACCAGAGGACATTTCTCCAAAAAGTACGATCTTTGTCCCCATGTGCAGTTGCATACCGTAGTCTGGCTTTTCTATGGCGGTTTTGGAGCAGTGGCTTCTTCCTTGCTGAGCGGCCTTTCAGGTTATGTCGATATAGGACTCGTTTTACTGTGGATATAGATACTTTTGTACCTGTTTCCTCCAGCATCTTCACAAGGTCCTTTGCTGTTGTTCTGGGATTGATTTGCACTTTTCGCACCAAGGTAAGTTAATCTCTAGGAGACAGAACGCGCGTCCTTCCTGAGCGGTATGACGGCTGCGTGGTCCCATGGTGTTTATACTTGCATACTATTGTTTGTACAGATGAACGTGGTACCTTCAGGCATTTGGAAATTGCTCCCAAGGATGAACCAGACTTGTGGAGGTCTACCATTTTTTTTCTGTGGTCTTGGCTGATTTCCTTTTATTTCCCCATGATGTCAAGCATAGAGGCACTGAGTTTGAAGGTAGGCTTTGAAATACATCCACAGGTACACCTCCAGTTGACTGAAATTATGTCAATTAGCCTATCAGAAGCTTCTAAAGCCATGACATCATTTTCTGGAATTTTCCAAGCTGTTTAAAGGCACAGTCAACTTAGTGTATGTAAACTTCTGACCCGCTGGAATTGTGATACAGTGAATTCTAAGTGAAATAATCTGTCAAACAATTGTTGGAAAAATTACTTGTCATGCACAAAGTAGATGTCCTGCCAAAACTATAGTTTGTTAACAAGACATTTGTGGAGTGGTTGAAAAACAAGTTTTAATGACTCCACCTAAGTGTATGTAAACTTCCGACTTCAACTGTACATGTGCCAAGCTTGTAGCATCATACCTAAGAAGACTTGAGGCTGTAATCGCTGCCAAAGGTGCTTTAACAAAGTACTGAGTAAAGGTTCTGAATACTTACGTAAATGTGATATTTCAGTTTTAGATTTTTAATACATTTTAAACATTTCTAAAAAACAGTTTTTGCTGTGTCGTTATGGGATATTGTGTGTAGACTGATGAGGGGAAAAAACAATGTAATCCATTTAGAATAAGGCTGTAACGTAACAAAATGTTGAAAAAGTCAAGGGGTCTGAATACTTTCCGAATGCACTGTATAAGATACAGTATCAATCATTCATTCGTTCATGCCATCACACAGCATACGAGTCATTCATGCTTTGAAATGCAATCAAGCGTTTTAGTTTTAAAGTAAATAACAAAGGGAGCTTTGAATTATTAGCCTAAACAATAAATAAACTGCAATTCACAAATGCATGCAACTGTGTTTAGTCTGCAGTAATAAAGGCTTTATCTTTTTATTTTGTTAGAAAATACTCTGGTACACTAATTTATTTAGTGTTTACACTGTTCCAAATGGTAAGAAAAAAAATATTATATTGTAATCTAACTGTTTGGCTTGGCACACATAATACTCACACAACGCTTGCTCCTATACCCTACTTTTTCTTGATCTCCAGCAGTTTCCACAACTAAGTCAAAAATCTTCCACAGATCTGACTTTCCCTCCTGAGCAACCAGTAAACATTCACCTGTTTAGAGTTTCTTTTTCACGTCCTCCTCATCCATTTTTCTGTCGACATTACTGTGTTCTGAGTTTGTTATAACCAATTTATTGTTGTGATTATGATAGGCTATAAGTCAGGCCCTATTGTTCACATGCATGCGACGCGTAAATGTTTCACGTAAAAAGATCAAGGGTTGAGGCAATAGGGAATGTTTTTCCTAAACAAATTAGGGATTTTGGTAACAGAACTTTTCAGAAACAAGAAAGAAACTAAATGGCTGAAATTGTTGCAGCTAAAGCACGGACAGCGCAATAAACACTTGCTGTGCTGTGGTACCTTTTTGCTGCAGTAGGGAGGAGAGCGAGACGACGTGCGCCAGTCATACAGGCACTTTTTTAACAGTGTGACCATTGTGATTTGTGTGTCTTAATTATTTTATCAAACATTGTGCTTAAAGCATCAAACAAGCTCAGTGCATATGTAGTTGGTTTTATTCAAACACCTAGGGTGTGTCTGTGTATATACAGTGCCTTCGGAAAGTATTCAGACCCCTTGACTTTATCCACATTTTGTTAGGTTACAGCCTTATTCTAAAATGGATTAAATTGTTTTTTCCTCTCATCAATCTACACACTACCCCATAATGACAAAGCAAAAACAGGTTTTTAGACATTTTTATATAAGTAATCAGGCCCTTTACTCATTTGAAGCACCTTTTGGTAGCGATTACAGCCTCAAGTTTTCTTGGGTATGACGTTACAAGCTCTGCAGATCCCCTCAAGCTCTGTCAGGTTGGATGGGGAGCGTTGCTGCACAGCTATTTTAAGGTCTCTCCAGAGATGTTAGATCGGATTGAAGTCCGGACTCTGGCTGGGCCACTCACGGACATTCAGAGACGTGTCCCGAAGCCTCTCCTGCGTTGTCTTGGCTGTGTGCTTAGGGTCGTTGTCCTATTGGAAGGTGAACAGTCGCCCCAGTCTGAGGTCCTGAGCGCTCTGTAGCAAGTTTTCATCAAGGATCTCTCTG